AGCGAAGATGTCCTGTAGATTCTTGATCCAAACTAACTTAAAAGCTTCTCTAGTAGCTCTACCAAAATCTTAATGATCTCGGATAAACCTTCGTTGAACCTTTAACCAAACCTCATTGAGACTCTGAGTTTCTCTCACATCTTTGGATACCACCACGCTTCCGCTGCGCAAACAAGAACGTAGGACACTTCGGCTTGCAAATTCTTCACTTGGCTACCCCCTTAAGAAAAGATGAACTAGGGGACACCAAAGTATAGCTTGCATCTCCTTTTAGATGAGCTAACTTATATCAAAATGTTCTGGCATCCCAACGTTACTCTTGTATATGGACAAGAAACCTGAAATTCCTCGCGAGACGAAAAACAGCAGTGCAGTAAAATAGCTGTAACTCCCGTTCTGTTAATCCAATGAAGTTGTAGCTTACATCGTTGGAAACCTTATCAAATTTTCCACATCTTCATTATAGAACACTTTTCCAAATTCCTCAGTTAGCTTGGTCGAAAACAGTGCACAATAGAAACTACTCCAGATTCCAAACAGCACAGATGCCTCGCCTTGTGATTTTCGTATCTCCATAAACAACATAGCTATCAAGCTAATTCTTGCGCTCAAAGAAAGATATTGAAGTCTACTTTTGTCCAGAATTTCCTCATGATTTTTTTTTGATCATCCAAAATTAGTTATATAAACCGAAGAGTGCGGACTGCTCCGAAAAGACAGGATAGGGAAAACAGAAGAAAACCAAATCCCGACTATTTATTTCATTAATCCTTATGCCTTAGGCCTATTACTATCTGAAATTGTGGGAACACCCAACAAGATCATTGCAATCATTACAAAGATTCAAAACGACCATAAGCATAATGACAACTCAACAAACAATAAAGATGCACAATTCAATCATTAACTCATCTTGCGATACTATCGTTCTCATTGCTCCAGGGATAACAATCCTAAGACTTATATTCAGAGAATGTAAGAAGGTGGTGAGGAGTAGTTCTAAAAGCATATCAAATCAAGGAGTGAAGATGAGAACAAAGTCTTTAAAATAAGCACAAAGGTATAGACGAATAGCAAAGATAAAGATATAGTAGAGAAGAAAATATCAAGGTTCATAGAGCAAGGGTTTTTGCAAAGAACTTATAAACCTTAAAACGACCGGCTTCTACTAGGCTTATGTCCCTACATCAACACTGCTTTCCGATACCATTTTGTCACACCCAATTTTAAGGATAAAATTGAATGCACTAAACTCATGTGTGCCTGTGGATCACCACACACATAAGTTGACAAATTATAAAAAGTATCATCACGGTGTATCTTACATAACGAATAATAGCATCACATTGACTTACATAACACAAATGAAGATAAAAAGATAACTCTCTCGTGGAACTCCATCACAGGGGACGGTCGAATTGGTTGACCACAAGCCTAATAATCTCTCGTGAAACTCCTTATATCCGTTGTCATCTGTTACCCATCCGGGATTTTTATCCAAATATTGAAAATTAAACAAGCGTAAGTACGTCCCGTACTCAACAAGATAACATGGGGTTCATGAGGCTCAAAAAGGATGACACCGGGTTTCATCGCAGCTTAGCACTTTTAGTAGATTCAAGATTTTATCCTCATCTATTATTAAGTTATGCTTAAGCTCCCTTTAAACCCACGTGATCATATATCCGATCCAATAGAGTCATGTGACATCATCATAATCATCTCGTATAAACAACATTATAAGTAGCCATCTATTCTGTGAGTTTTTCGGTCACGCTTGTGACTGCCAGTAGTGAGCACGGTTGTTATATAACAGCTTTGTTACCCTCTGCAGAGGTGGTGCACATTCACCGCATGAGTCGTGATCCCCATATGCCCGGGTTAATTACTCCCATGTCACTTCCAAGGTGAGCGGACAGGTACACTATGAAGCCATTTCATAGGTTTCCCTAACAAGTTAGGGCACTAGGTTTCCTTGGCAGCAGATGTAGGAACCCCTTTCCTATGGCACATATCCATCATGCGGCTATACACATAGGAACAGAGGCGGTCCTATACCCAACGTGGCAAGCCCCATTTGCGCCAAAAAGGTAACCTCTAACTAGCTAGAAAAGGTCCTATTATCGAGCTAAAGTCGAGCCATATGACTCTCCCGGTTGCCTTCGTCGGTCCCAAATTTTTGCCGACAGATAAGTCCTTATGGAGGGCCTAAGCAACATGAACAAAGGTCATTTGCCCTTTCGCCTTATGGAACAGCTTGTTATAAATCATGTTACTCACTTTGTTCCATAGTATCATTCATCAACAGTATATCAAGTTCGCTTAGAGCACTAGCAATCTACCCATATGCATTTAACCCATAGGATACAAGGAACAGGATAAACAATCACTAGGATGTCCTTACGGGTATCAAAATTAGACACATGCAAATGAGTAATTGATTAAAGTGAGGTAGGACATCAAGGAAGGCCCATGTTATACTTGCCTTGGTTCACAAACTCGTCTTTGTTCCTCGCTGGTCGTCGAAGAGTTCTTGGTCTCCAACGCTTTCCTCACCGTCTCTAACGCGACCAATATGGCAACATACAACATTCCAAAAGCATTCATGCAAAGCAAACATTCCTATCATTAGAACAGTACACCAACAAGATTGAAATCAAAATAAAATGTTTGTAAAACTAATCTACGCTTTCTCTCGATCACGTCAACGCGAAGTTCACGAAAAAACGGAGCTAAAATGCGAAAAGCTATGATTAAAACGGGTTTTCCTGTAGCCCCATATTTAATTAATTCTAATCATGAAATTAAAAAGTTCCAAACTTGACTATCGGCGTCATCATGTAGCTTATGAAATTACGGCTAACACGATTTGAATGGATCAATTCGGAGTTAAAACGACAATTATATAAGCGAAAAGTTCGAATGGCATTTCAGAATATCGAAAAGCGTACTTTTGACTTAAACAAAGGAAGTTTACGTTTTCTAACGGGATTGCGATTCGGGAAATACGCTAAGGACGGCGGGTTAGGACTTAGAAAAATCCAGGGCTCTTTAGCAAATTTACCCCGAAGGGTATCTTCTATTTCAGGTAGTAGATCACGCGATGGACGGTTCAGATCGGCTGAGGGTTGGCCGTGAGCGAGGGACTCCGCGAGAGGCTAGCCATGGCCGGGCAAAAAGAACACGCCATGAGCTCGGATAGGGGGCTAGGGTCCGCCAAACGGGGAATCGAGGGCACCCGAGAGCTCGGGGAAGAAGGGGGTGCACGGTCGAGAAGACGGCGGGGGGAAAGCCGGGCGCGGGCGCCATGGCCAAGTGACATGGAGCTCACTGCGCGACGCGGATTGGGCGCTATAAGCCACGCAAACGCGAAATGAAACGCATCGGGAGAGAGAGGGACCACGGCGAGCTCACCACGGCGAAAAATCGGAGGCGGAGATGGCTCGGAGACACGCCGCCCGCACGAGGTGGATTTGGCGAAATCCGGCGACCTTTAACGACGGTCATTGGGCCTCCGGCGTGAGCGGGCGAAATTGGAGCAGGCGGCGAGGCGACGAGGGGGGGCTCACCGCTTTTTAACGGCCGAGGAGGGGCACGAGGGGCGCCCCACGACGCCAGTATACTGAACATGGTTCCGCTTTGACCGGGAGCGGGCGCGGACGCCTTGGGAGGTTGGGGCGGCGCCGACAGGGGGGCCCGGCCGCCGGATGCCGGCGGTGGTGTTAAGTCTTGGCGACGCCGAGGCGCTGCAGCCGGGCTGGGACTACTGGCCAATATGGAGCGCTTGGCCGAGTCAGTCAAGGCCAAGCCAGGCCGAAGGGAAAGGTGGGTCAAGGCCGGCCGTGGTGGTCTTGGTCATGGGAAGAAATGGCCATGGGGCGAATGAGAGGAAGGGGAGGAATGGAAGGAATTTTCCTTTTTTTTTTATAAATAAAATTTTCAAACTCATTTTCAAAAGGTTTTTAAAATCTTTTAGCATTTGAACAAAACCACCCGTCACAGAAATAAATATGCAATTGCATGAATGCATCAACATGTTTCTATTCTTGTATTTTCTTTTAATTTCATAAAAGAAATATTATTTCCTATATTTGAAATGCACATATAATTACATATTTAAATCAAATTTACTATTTTAAAAAGAATTCAAATTTTAGGGTGTTACACCCCTCAACCCCCCTCATTCCTAGGGACTCTGGAGGTGGCCTCTACTTTTTTTCTTTCCCACCGTTCCTCTCCTGCTTCAGTGCAGATCCCACCTGCGCCCGCCAGCCAGACCAAGCCCCCGGTCCCCTATCCCTGCCGAGCCCCTCCCTGCCACGGGTGCCTCTCCCCATCACCGAGCCCCTCACCGCCGCCGAACCTCTCCCCACCAAGCCACTACCTGTACATCGATGGAAAACGGGAGAAAAAGAAAAGAAAACACATGCCACAGATAGAAGGGTCCCAATTGTCATAAAAAAGTAGGGGCTCAAAATTGTGGGTTGTTGCTAGAGTTGTAGCAGAAATTTGAGGGCTGGAAAAGTAAGGGTGGCCCTCAAATTCCAAGTAGGGGGCCAGGTTCGAGAAAAAGGTTCAGAGAGATTTAGGGGGCCAGTGCTGGAGATGCTCTTACTGCATAAACACTTAAACAGTTACACAATATCCAAAGACCTAATTGTTCTTGAACCATATTTTTTCTAGAATGTGAAGGAGAGAATTTCTCTTGAACCATTAATCATTTCCAAACCAAAGATGCCTTCATACGAGCTTATAGCTCACAAAAATGATATTGTGTTTACATATCCCTGTAGGATCTGATTGCTTGTTGCATTCTTATTTTCTTTCATATTTTGGCTCTTGTTGGGTACCTGGGTTTCAACTCTACTAAAACCCAACTTCCTTTGAAGCAAAAGGTTGTGTTCTTTTTGTTGTAGTTGTAATCCTATGCTAAAGTAGAGATCATTTGGTTGTCCAGTCACTCTCATTTATGTTAATTGAAAGCTTTTCCATCTTACTAGCTCTGGCAAAGGGAGGCAGGAAGCTTGAGGCAGCAACTGCATAACTTGCAAGAGCACCATCGGTACAACCTCAACCAACCTACAATAAATATTTCAAATCATTATGAGAAAAAAAATGTGTCTACTGCAGTTATTTTTTTCATAGTATGCTTAACAGTACTATCATAGCAGAGATATTGTACTTCCATCAGAGGAAACAAACACCAGTAGAATGAGAAATTGTAATTTTATTTCATGCTCAGACATAGAATCAATGGGAACAAGGTCCTAAAAAATAAAGATCGATAAGAATTAAGAACAAATTCTCAGCACATGATGATGAATTGCAAGATGCAATTGGTTCAATGTTCTATGTGTATCTATTAATGCTATGCACAGGAAGTTTGAAGTCACCAACACAAAGTTAAACCTTATACAGTATGGCTCCAAAACTTTCAGAAACAGCAATAAGCAACAATCTGCTTCATTATTCTATTTGATTAAGTGTGTGTCCTTACTCCTCCCACAAAGGAAGTTATGTTATGTGTTGGTTAATTCAACTGTACACTTGATGGCTACAAAAATGGTACTTTATTTTAATGTTCTCTCTTAAACATGAAATAGGATCATAAATTCGTACAATAACATGTGCATTTTCAGAAAAGCATAAGCTAATGTTCTATACAATTTTTCACTGCAGGCGGTTGTTGGGCCAGCAGCTTTCTGGCCTGGACGTGAGAGATTTGCAGAATTTAGAGAATAAGCTGGAGACGAGCCTAAGAAATATTCGTCTGAAGAAGGTTGCATTACAGATTCTTTAGTCGCCATCACATACTTAACAACAAAGATACCAGTTGTTACTTTGTTTACTAACTTTCAATCTGCAGGACCAACTTATTTTTTATCAGATTCAAGAATTAAACAGGAAGGTTTGTACACACAACTTATTCAAAACTACTAACATATTCTAGGGTCTCGCTTGACTACACAAACTTCTTATTTGAATTATAGGGAAGCCTCATGCACCAGGAAAACATAGAACTATACAACAAAGTCAACCTTCTTCATCAAGAGAACATTGAATTACGGAGAAAGGTATATGCATCTGGAAATAGTTAGCCAAAAAAGGGTGCAATTAGTAGAACTCATCTTTTATTCCACATGTCAAGTGTATGTGAATCACAAAACATCATTTCTTTTTCATTTTTCAGGTGTATGGACAAGGAGTAAATGAGCATCCAACAAGTACTACAGTTAGACACAGTATTCTGAATACAGAGAATGAAGATGTTCCGATCAATCTTGAGCTGAGTGTGCAAAGGGACAAGTCAGAAACACCAAGTATAGGGTGAGATTTTTGTCCAAACTTCAGGACAATTCAGAGTCAGTAAACCAGATGATTTAAGAAAGACCACTGAAAGTGCCATAAGACTTCAATGCAGTGAGGATAGCTAAAACTGAGAGACCAGAAATCAATATCGTGGGTTGAATTGCAAGACCTAACAGCTAAAGTTTAAGCTGCTAGATGCAATTCTTCTGTATGAAGAAAAGGGCATACCCGGTGCAGAGAGCTCCCGCTCTATGCGGGGTCTGGGGAAGGGTGTCAGTGGCAAGCCTTACCCTCGCCTGTGCAATACGAAGAGACCGCGACTCGAACCCGGGACCTTCCGGTCACAGGCAGTAAGGCTCTACCGCTTGCACCAGGCCCGCCCTTCAAATAAGCTTGCCATGTATGCTCTTGTAAATTGTACTCTGAATTATAAGTTGTCTTGGCTTTTCTAGGTATATAGCTTTTACTATGCACCTAGATATACGCTATCTCTTGATCCAAAACAACTTATATTTGGAACGGAGGGAGTAACTTCAAAAGATGATAACAAGTTAAATATTGGATGATCTTCTACCATTAGAACTTAATAGAAAACAATTCCTTTTGAACTCAAAATGAAAACGTGTATAGGTAGAGAATAATACAGAGGATTTTGGTAAAATGACAACTTTAAACTTCAAACCAGAGCAGACCAATGTCCACTGTCCTATGACAAAACAGATACATCCAAATGCGCAGTTGGTCTCAAAACTGAGCTATTGAATAAATAAAATGCTTTGTACTCTAAGCACGAGACCTGCTTAGGGTGGAACCCAAGTAAGCAGGCATTGCAACTATACCCTTTAACCACATTCATTGTACTTTGTAGTATTCTACGAAAAAATCAAGCCTAGTATAATTATCACATCATAGTACATATAATAACCAGTTAGGCCAACCAAAAACATTGATCCATATCAATCTATCAATCGCTGTGGGAATAACAAAAGATAAATGATATTTCTCATAATACAGAAGAACACTTACAAGCTCTTGCAAGCTATGCAGTTGTTGTCTCGAGCTTGCTGCCCCCAAATGCATATCTAATTAAAATAATTGAAGGTTAGTAAAATCAACTTATGCAAGGTATAAACATACTTATAGTGTATTTTTAATTTTTACTAAAACTTGAGGATCATCATAATACTGACAAATGACAATGTAAGAAGAATATATATCACTGCAGAGCCATGTGCATATATTAGAACTTTTGTTAGGCAAATTACTGGCAGACAACAGAAAAAGAAGCTCACAAAGTCACAGGTGGCACGCAACGTGCATCCAGCATGGTGAATGGTGAACATGCAGTGGAATTAAGTGGTACTGGCAGCAACATGCAGAAATGGGCATTGACATCAATGTGTGTAGTCAGACATGAGGCACAGATGAACTCACACTAGTTATGAGTCAAGGCAAAGCATGCAACAGATCAATTTACCAAACCTACCCACCCCACAGCCCACACTGCCCCACGCCCCCACCCAACCCCCACAATCCTCCAAACTTGTGACCATAAAGGCACTAAGCAAGAGACTGCTATTGTTATATCAGATTGGCAAAAAAAAAACATCCAGGTATCCCATCAGTTCATGACCGAGAAGACAAGGTAAAAGAGTCCATCTCATATTTCACATGATCTGATGCATGGCCAATATTTCCTGACATGGAAATTATACATGTGTTTAGGTTATACCAAGACCAAATTATGAAACAAATGTGCAAACTCTCTAATAATGAATATGCAATGCACTTCATATTATAATGTAAAATATTTACATTATGATATATACTTCAAAAGTACACTCCTAACCTTAATAATACTCTTTTAACTAAGTTAAAATATGCGGCAAGTCCTTAATGAGAGTAGTCATCCAATATAGCATATGTTACCTAGTATCCCAGAACTCAAACTTGTGAATCGATGTAAACTGTCATAATTCATAAAGCTTGATCATAATCATCAATAGTGTGTTCATATAAAACATCTACTTGTTTCTTGATGTTATTGGTGTTCAATAACATACTTTGACAAAAAAAAAAAGGAATGCAATGTATTATGGTCTGAACAATTTATGTGATGATGAAGATTATTCCATCGTATGGGATATCATGATATTATTTTTGATCAAACGATCATAAACTAAACTTCAATTAACTTTGTAAAACATGCTGGGTGTAAATGCATGTATCTTATTGCAATGCATAGTATAAAAACAAGCAATCGATCTTCTTTAAGAAATATGTTAGGTACAAATAAAAATGAGGCATGTATGTGCCAATATTCCTAGGTTCCAGAGTAATACGCTACATCCTTTATATTCCATGTACTTAAGATATTTTGATTGGAAACAAAAAAAATCCTACTTAGAGAAAAATATACCTAGACGTAGAGGCCCAATACACAAGTACTGTAAGTGAAACAAGTATATTATCGCTTGAAAGAGTTTCTTCAGCCCATATTGCAACCTTCAGAATGTGCTGATAAAATTTGCCATTATAGTCTCACATTTCCCTACCCGGAGTCCCGAACACAAATTCTACAATCTTTGTGGGTAAGGGAACAGAAACACAAAACTGCTGCACAATTATCCGACTATCCGTTGACACCAGTAAAACCTTACAACAGCTTTTTGAGGATTGAAATATGTAGCATAAGCGCAGCAAGAGACCTCATGATTCTAACAAACACCTACACCCTAAAATTTTAGGGAAAAGGGATGAAATGAGGAGAGAATATATATGCAGAGCCACAGCCGAACAAATGAAGCAAAGTTTCCTCGCGACAAAATCGATGAATCACATTCGCCCTGAGCAACATTTTCACTTCCCCAAGTGGCACCTACGAGTTCCCTAGTTCCCTCCTATACGAACACCAAAACTGCAGAACTACATACTGTTTTACCCGATCCATCACACCGGATGACATCAAGCAAACTGCAATGCATCTATGGATCCAGTTCCAAGCTCCACACACTACTGATCCAGTTCCAAGCTCCGTACACTACAAGCACCACAAAAACCAAAACCACAACGGGCACGAAAGGGGGGGTCGCGGGTCGGGGTGCCGGCGGCAGGCCGGTGTCACCAAGACACCAACCACACAAGACCGCTCGAACTGTAAGCGGAATTCAACCTATCGTAAATCGTAAGCAGAAGCGGAGTCAGTTGAGCTTACCTGGACGGATCGGCTCCTCGCTTCGTCGCGAGGGCACTCCGCTAAACCCTAGATCAGGTGAGCTCGGCAGTCGACAGGTGGGTGGCGGACGGGGAGGCCTGCAGCCAGAGGATGCAGCATAATTTGCCAGGATTAAATAAGCAGCGGTCGGGCGCACCGGCGCAGCCGCTGCGGCCTCCGCTGTTTACCGGATTCGACTTCGAGGCGCTGCTGATTCAGAACGCCAACTGCTGGGATTTCTTTTCTAACAAAAGGGACTGCCGACTTTTTAGGGACTGCCGACTTTTTTTTTTTTTTTGAACCTGGGACTGCCGACTTCTGGTTTCTTCAACAGGCAACGGCTTCTCCAGGACCCAGCTAGCCAAAAGAAACCAACTAATAGCTAATTATTTTCTCCATTCCAAATTATAAAACGTTCAGCTTTTCTAAATTTATGGTTTTTACTATGCACTTAGATATACACTACGGCTAGATGATGCACGTATATCTAGAAAGCCAAAACGTCTTATAATTTAGAACGGATGGAGTATTAATTAAAATTAATAGCTAATTGTTAGTTACCCTCCGTTCCAAATTATAAGTCGTTTTGATTTTTTTTTTGTACATCCATTTTGCATGTACCTAGATATAATATGTGTCTAGATATATAACAAAATAGATGTACCAAAAAGTCAAAGCGACTTATAATTTAAAATGGAGGGAGTAGTAGGTAAGACATTAGGTAGGTTTATTAGCTGAGCATCTAAACATGTTCTTAGGAGAGTTTCATTTGCATTTAATAAATTGTCGCATAAGTGTTTTTGATAACATGGCAACGGTTTTAATAGATAGAAGAAGTGAGTTTCATGGGATGAAACTCTCTTTGCACAATTACTAACTCTCTGTGAGTCAAGAAATTAAATGTCTATGAAACCGTATAAATAAAAATTTCTATTGAGAGTGGGTATTTCAACCATGTTTCATTTTGTTCTATATGGCATGACAGTTTTAGAAATAACGCCATGAAACTTCTCACTAAAATTGGCCTTAGCTAATTTTTTTAGCAACTAAGAGCATCTCCAGCGAGACATCGACGAATTTATTAGAATTCTGCCATTCTCACAACTAGATTTTGTTTTACGATCCTGCAAAAGAGACTCGCTGTATTGCCATTATAAAATGAGGCCATCAGGCTATAATACCTTTTCATAATTTTTTATCTATTTAATGTTGCTACCCATGAAAACACTCTTTTCTATTATGCAAATGCCCCTGCCTCTTTAGCTGACGGAGAAAACAGCACTCGAAGACTCCTTTTTCTTCTCCGTCATGGTGAGAGCACACAACGTGCTCCCATGGGCGCCATCAGCGCCGCCTACCCCTCACTGCCACTGCCTCCCACACGCCATTGTCACCCCTATTATCTTCTTAGTCTTCCTCGGCGGCATGCATTGCTGCTGCTAGGGTGGGATTTGGGGCTAACGTTGGAGATGGGAGGCAGCCGACAACGTGGAATTTGGGGACGACGAGGGTGGTAGGTGCAACGATGGTGACAACGACGGTGGCAGGCAGAGCTATGATGCGGAAGAAGTGCGTTGGCCACTCACGCTCAATTCGTTTATGCGGATGAAACGACTTTTCACAAGAATTTTAGGCTAAAGGGGCGGGGGCGTTTATGGAGTAGAAAGACTATTCCATGGACATCAACATTAAACTTAAAAAATTTTGAGAAAATGCATTTTAGCATGATAGCCGTGTTTCATAATAGCAATCGAGCATATCTCATTTGTAGGATGACAAACAAGCGAAACCCAATTACGAGAATGCCA